AGACTCCTGCCGCAGGGCGCAGGCCACCCTTTGACCTTCAGGGTCTGGTCCGTCCATCCTGGCACACCAGAGTGGACGGGGTTCCAGTCTCAGCCTGCACCTGAATGCATGGGTCCGCGGCCGGGAAGGCCTGGCAGCCCAGGCCGAGGGCGCCCCAGGGAGTGCCGGCACCACCTCAGTGCGCACGCCTGGCTCTGGCCCCCGGAAGCGCAGGTCGCCGGCCGCCCCCCTCGGCCTGCCACTGAGGCCAGCCCCAGCCTCCAGCGCCCCCCCAGACAGCGCAGCAGGAGGGCAGCGACCGGCCTCAGCGCCCGCCCCGCCCCGCCCACACAGGGGCTTCGAGCCCGCCCCGGCCACGCCCAGGTACACCAAGGTCCTGTACGACTTCACGGCGCACAACGCCAACGAGCTGTCGGTGCTTAAGGACGAGGTCCTGGAGGTGAGGGTTCCGCCGGGCAGCGCCGCCCTGCCCCTCGCCCCGCCCCGGAGCCACCGGGCCCCCAGCCTGGCCTGGGCGCCCCTCTGTCTTGGGGGGCTCGAGCGCCCGCCTGTGCGGGCGCAGGCGGCTTTTCTGCGGGGGCCTGTGGCCTGCCTTCAAGCCACCCACTAGGACGGAAGTGGGGGGCAGTGTGGGGGCGCCAGGAGGCGGTGCTGTGAGGAGGTCCGGCGGGGGTGCGGGCGGGCCCGGGCTCTGGGTGACAGCGCCGCCCCCAGGTGCTGGAGGACGAGCACCACTGGTGGAAGCTGCGCAGCCGCAGCGGGCAGACCGGCTACGTGCCCTGCAACATCCTCCACGAGGCCGGGCCGGCGGACCTGGGCGGCCCCCTGGACCAGGCGAGTGGCCCCACGGGCCTGCTGTGGTGCGGGGTCTCGGCAAGGGCAGGACCGGTTCCCAGTGGGACGGGGGTGGGCAGGGCCTCGGCTCTCCTGGCTGCCGCCTGCAGGGAAGCCGAGCTAGCCGGGCTCACGGCGCCCCTCTCCCCCGACTCCCAGGCCCGTGGGAAGTACTGGGGTCCTGCCAGTCCGACCCACAAGCTGCTCCCCAGCTACTCTGGCAACAAAGATGGTGAGGCGGGGGCTCCGGGGCCAGAGGGGCCAGGGCGGGGGCGGGGGCCCTGGGCCGAGGCGTGCCTGGCTCGAGGGGTGGGAGCCGAGCGCACCCCCGCCCCGCAGAGCTGATCCACCAGATGGACGAGGTCAACGACGAGCTGCTCCGCACCATCAGCAACTTGAAGGTGCAGCCGCAGCGCCACTTCCGCGTGGAGCGCAGCCAGCCGGTGCGCCAGCCGCTCACCTACGGGTCCGGCCCGGAGGAGGTCCGCGCCTGGCTGGAAGCCAAGGCCTTCAGCCCGGGGTGAGCCGCCCGCCAGGGCCGGCG